GGCATCCAGCCCCTGCCTGGCAAGCTCCACTGGAGGGTTCAAAAAAGCAAAGAAGGAAACAACTGCTGGAAAACAACCTATGGACTAGAAAAGGGCGACTGCTAAAATCTAAACCTCAACTAGAAGTAGTACTTGATTTTCCTGGATTTCACAGAGAACAAAGATCCAGATTCTATATCCCCAAATGGATGACTATGGTGAATAAAAGACAGGACAGGACTGACTGCTAAATTTTCTTTGGGTTCCCCCTCACTGGACCCAAACAGGTAAGCAGTAACTGCCCCAAAAAGCCCTTCAGTAAGCATCAGAACTTGCTCATCCCCATTACTAACGGTGCCAGTGCAGGAAAGGGAGTGCCCACCACGCGGCAACCTCAACCATCCATTTTGGCACGATAAAGACTTATAAAGGACGGGTAAAAAGAGTGGCAATGACAGTCTGGGGACAAAACCCAGACCTCTGCCATCACAGACTTGTGAGCCAGAGCGATGCAGATTGCCTGGCTGGGGCAGCAGCGGCTCCCACCTCCCTGGCCCGGCACAGGCACAGGGGCTGTTTGTTCCTCAGCTAAACCCAGGCAGCGCCGCAGCCCAGCCTAACCCAAACCAACAGAGCCAGTGAGCACTAAATTCAGTCATTTTTCCCTCAGTCTCTTCTCTCAATTTCAGCTCTGACTCCTCTATCTTTTATTTCTTTTTCTAAAGACACATTTAGAGATGAAACCATTCATAACTGCCTATCCACAGACAGTTTGTGGCAGCATAATTGACAATGAGTCTGCTGCAAAAATGAAAATGCTGTTTTAATAACCTTGGCCTAAAATACATTCTGTTGTATGCCTCAAAGGGTTTCAATAAAAAGTCAACCTGTAGAGACATATTTTCTTGGCTTAAACAACAATCCAAAGCATATAAATGTAGTCCAACTATAATGACATATTTATAGGCCAATAAAGCTTACACTGCAGCTTTCATACTTCACTTAAAGGAAGTCTGTAAGAAGCAGTGTTATATAAAATAATTTGAATTTTTTTCAAACTATAGCCCAAGGAATACAAATATGCAACTTTGCCATATTTAACCAATAGCGTTTACGTTGCTTAGTTGCTAAAAATTTTGTAAAATGAAATAATTCCTCATTTAGTGACTTCCCACTGGTTTACCAAATATGGGTATACAAGTCCATTTATTACAAAGAAAAATCCCCTAAATAATTCTAAAGACAAAAATAAATAACTAGCGGCCTTAGTAGTGAATGATTTAATCAGACCAATTCTTCTGGAAAAACAGGTTCTCATGTTCATTATGAATAATACATTCCGAGCAACTCTATTTTTATATGCTGCATTGTTGTTATTCTTTATTTTTCTCAATATTTGAAAGAAATATTCAGAAAGCTATAAATAGTCTTAAGACATAAACTGCTAGCATTCAATATTGACATATTTGTAGAAAGGGACAGAATGTATAACATAAATATCTCAACAGGCAGAAAGAAATAATTCTTAAAAATCATTTTTCAGGCTGAAATCTTGAAGCTCACACAAAATTGCCATTGCTAGATCTTTTATTTAATACAGTCCTAAGGAAAAGTTCTGCATAATTCACTAGTGATAAAAACAATGGCATTTTACAGAAAAAAACCCAGGTTCTGCAGAAAAGAAAGCCAAAGAGAAAAGAAGAAAAAAGAGACAAGAGGGAAAAAAGATAAGAGGGAAAAAAAAGAGAAGAGAAAAAAGAGAACAAAAAAGGAGACAGAACTACCAAATTTGAATTAGGGTCAACTTTCAATTGTAGGTGCATGGTTTCTCTGGGTTGTGGATTAACCAGGTGTCGCCTTAGTTTTGGCTAAGCGAGTGCCACAGAGTATATGGCACAGGGTATATGCTGCTCACACGAGGTCCCACTTTGCCTGGTTATTGTTTAAAGCTGCCCTGCTCCCAGCAGCAACACGTTTAATTAAGTATGTTTGCGCAGTGCCTCTTCTGTGGTTCTGTACCAGCCATGTTTTCATTTCATCCGGGTTATTTCACCCTTCACTACTCCTGGATAGTGTGTGAAAACTGATTTTGTTTCTTCTGTAAAGTTTTTTTGAGCTCTTTGGTAGGGATATAATTTCCTATTACCTTCTACAGCTCGGTTCAAAAACATCTAGTAGGAAAAATTTCAGAATCTACTCACTTGTATGGGATTTTCCTGTAATGTAAACATGCCGCTTCATAGGAAAAAAAGGGGTCCACGAGATCACCTTGTTTATCTAGGCCTTTTCAACACCTGGTTCAGCAACTTCCCCGTCTACAGCCAGGGTTAAACATGGGCATCACTACAGACTCATGCATGGCCCGCCAGACTAGCACAAGAAGGGATTTATTCCCTTCAGATCCAAGTTCTGTACAAAGTGGTCTGCCCTGTCACAGCCACCCCACTCTGCCCGATGGGGAAGACCTCCATGAAACATCCCCATCAGCGCAGCACTAAGTACCTGATTAGGAGGAGAACCGCGCTGCAGTGGTGGGAAGTGGTGGATGTGCAGGAGATCGCCTCTCCATTTGGGCTGATTAGCCTTGCTAATATAGCTGTGCTGATGCTCTCACCAGAGGGACGTCTGCATGACAGTGCACCACACTCCCTCACAGTTTACAACCCCATTTTAAGAGAAAAACTACCCCATCCCACTGTGCTGGAGACCTGCTGCAGAAGTTATTGCTAATAAATCTTTGGTCACCGCAGCTGAGCATTGCTCTGTTGGCAAGATGCTGAGTATTGGAAAAGGTCTGTGGGCACACGTCGTAACAGGCAGTAAACCTATCATTTTGACAGCAGAGAAGATACAACACTGGCAGCTCAAATCTCTATGCCTTGGACACTGCACGTTATGCTACTGCCTTTGCCTACAGCTAGGGAGATGACAATTCCCAGAGCACAATGTCAACCTTGACCAACCACTCAGAGTGAGAGAAGTAAATCTTCTTCACTTGGTGGGTGTTAAACCTTCATCCCATAGTTAAGCCAAACACCAGAGCTCATGGGTTGCCTACAGGACACAACCAAATAGGGCTGCTTCACAAGCAGTGAAGATCACTGATCTTCGGATTTTTTCTCAGACCCGGGAAGCAAAATATGCTTAAATTAATGGGTCTTTCAAACAGTAAAAAAAAATCATCTTAGTACTAGATTTAAGGAACTTCTTTGATTGCCTTTCATAGGCTAGATCAGTTGTCTGTATCAATGTCCCAATCAGCTACAGGTCTTCCTGAACTTTTGGTTTCACTCCCGCTGAAAAAGGCAATCATAATCAAACATTAGTCAAAATACCCTTTTCTACTGAAAATAAAAGACCCAACAATAAAGCCAGAGCCACCAACTGAAAATGAACAACATCAGAATGTGGGTTATCAAAATTATACCATATAGTTTGCATTCCATAAGCGTTTTCCATATAAACCCTACTTTCAAAGGCTTACCATGCAACTATATGCTTTAGGCTTAAAGATAATTTTCTGTGGCTCCTAGGGTAGATAACAGCCATTTCGTAACTTACCACAAGGGGTTTTTTGTTTGTTAAAAACAAAAACAAGAAAACATTAACACACAAAGTCCTGTCTGAAAAACATTAAGATTCTTCTGATGCAACAAACAAATGCAAATAAATGTAGTGCGTAAAGAAGATGCCAGGGCAATAGCAGAGAAAATTACTGCACATAATTATGAACCAGAAAAATCCACACAGAAAAGCAAAGGAAAAGAAAGAATTACATGGGTTATTTTTTTTCCTGGACATGTAATGAAAAATAAGGTCAACTTCCAATTGGACTTTAATCTTCCAACCTACGTATCTAACAGTAAAATGTGAGACTGACAAAATCACTTCACCATTTGATAAGATCAGAAAAACGAGATGCAGAAGATAAATCCTCCAAGACAGATCTTAAGCTTAGTGTCACTTGGCTTCAATGCCAACACAGTCGTGCCATTATAAAACTGAACTTGGCCCTGCATCTCCTGTTCACGTAGGTACAAAAGCATTTCCTCACATGCATCAGCCTTAGCTTTTAATTTCTTAGCTTTCCAGCCATTATGGCCTAAACTTCATGCTCTTCAAACCTGGAACATTCGTTAAAAGCTTGGTACAACAGAGAAATATCCCTGGGATGCACTTCAAAGCACCGTCTCTGACGGCTATTACGCATCCGAGGTCCTAATACCACAAGCAGGCACGTTTACCAACAGGAGACCTGTCGACCTTGAGCCCCTACCACGGATTTTAGAGGTGTGAGTGTCTGCGTACCAAAGCGGCCCCAGAGCTGCAAGCCTGTCTACAACCATCCAAAGTAGCAGAGCTATCGTTTCCCTTTCTAAAAATGGACACGGAAAGAAAGCACAGGTCTATCTGGAGAGAACAGTGGGGTGCTGGCAGAGGCCTATGCTACATAGTAACGTAAAGCTCACAAGGGAATGCCATAGAAGGCTACGGAAGGGACATCTCCCTACCAAACAAGACACAAAGCTGACTGTACGGAGACAGGACAAGCACCGAACACAGGTGACAATGCTGCACTTCTGGAAGATGGGACGGGAGAAATTAAAGGCCTTTGCCCTCCCTTGCCCGTCGGAGGAGGCCTCAGGAAGATGTGTCAGGCTCCTCTCCTCAGAACCCACAGCTCTGACCTGGTCCCCCGGCCTCCAGAGCCCCAGGGAGAGCCCTTGACAATTATTTGCATGTGCACCTTCAGGGTTTGAGCCTTAGTGCTCAGGGACACATCTAAAGAGCAGACAGGTATCACATGAGTTACCCCATGCTAATCTCAAAGGAGCCTGCGATGAGCTCACCACCACCACCACCCATCCCCGCTCGGGTACCTCCTCACCACGCCTCCGCCTGAAGCACAGACGTACCTTGGGAATCGGCGACGGCTCGGCAGGATCGGGCTCATCTGTCTTCGAAAGACTCTCACCCATGGGCCCCCCCCCCCCCCCCAGGGGAAAAGAAGGGATACTCACCAAGGTCAGCCTTTTCCTTCAGGATGTCTTTGAAGTTCAAGCCGCTGTTGAGTGTGGATTGTCTGTATCTCGTCAAGGCCTCCTTCTGCCCATTCTTCCCCACATCCATCGGCTTGACTGGCTCAGCCCGGAAACCACACTTCCACTTGGAGAAATCGGACTGTGCCCATTTTGCCAAGTCCTCAAGCTTCACAGTAACTTTCTCTGAAACAGCAATAACTTCATCCTGCAAGAAGCGGTCAAATGAGAATACGACACGTCACGTGGGGCTACACGATGACTGAAAAACCCGTAACGCCACCCCTCACACAGGCTATTGGAAAAGCCTATCTTGCTGTTGGCAGATTAATTTTACTGAAATACAGAATAGCTAGTACTTAATTTCTTCCTCCTGCCACCTAAGTGGAAATATTAGTTGTTTACTTGAAGCAAATAACACATGATCTAAAGACAATTTCTAGGACCAGGACAATGATCCTAAAATGAATCCGAAATACAGGTCGCCAAATCACACTCTGTATAACCCAAAGCCTTGAGGCAAAGTTTGTTTTTTAGGTGCAATTAGCTGCAAATGTAAAAATTCATGGCTGGATGACTAATGGTTATAGCTAGTCCTGAAATAAATGGACTAAGTAAATCTCAGATTCTTGGAACTCTGACTCACCAGAAAATTCCTATGTTTATGGTACATTTTCCCTTGGCTTATACACAAATATTGAATTTAACTTTTGTCCTAAAAATTAAATAAAACTGTGATGTAATCCCAAAAGAAATACTACATAAATGTTATGTGCTTCCCACCAAAAGAAACTTGCACATTCTCATGTTTCTTAAAACCTTTTTCAAGATCAGAACTGTAATTTTTTTCCCTTCTTAAACATACATTCTAAGAAAAGCACTTAAACTTAGTTTAGCCTCCAGAACATATACTCGAATTAAACAGCTCTAATTGCTGAATTTTATCCTTCCAGGAAACAATCAAGTCCCCTCAGTCATGATGAATAAGCAGAATGTTTTATAGCTGACTCCAGTGAGCAGGGGCTCAAGAAAGCCTCAAAAAAACCCCCAAACAAACATACACACATATCCAGCAAGATACACTCCAGATTTTTAGTTAAAACAGCAGAAATAATTTATGTTGTAATGAGAGCTGTCTGCACACCACACCTTGCACACCATACATTTCTAGCACTGAATAAGGTTACAGGTTCTTGAAATAAATAAACCGGAATCCAATTTTTCTCTCAAATCAACACAAGTATTTGCAAAGGGCAGAGAAATTCTTTGAGTTATTAAACAAAGAGAAAAGCAAGATTGATTCTCTCTGTGTTTTTTTTTTCCACTGAACACATTCCTCAGGAAATAAAATACTGCTCAATAGGGGAAAAAAAAAGCTTTATTGTGATAAGTTACACACAATACAAAACCTGAAGTATCTCTAGTAAAAAAGCAGATCTGATATTCCACTCTCCCTTATATAACACAAAATCATTTTATAAGCAGGCACCTTCATTATGTTTAGTGCAATAACAAATATTTGGTCAGAAATGAACTGCATGCTTATATGCTAAGGAAGCTTGTAATAAAATATTTTCCTTTATCGTTGCACAGCATAAGAGCTTCTACCGAACAACAAACAATAACAGTGATGTTTTAAATCTCTGTTTATGACAAACGTCAATACTTTGTAAACAAGCGTTGGGTATTACAAAGTACAATTTCAATGGATGGTTTCACCCCATTTCATTACACCATCCATGTGAAATATAAAAGCTGTAGTTGCTATGTATTTTATAGCTATTACATGGTGATTATTAAATGTCAGGATGGAAAAAAAGTAATACATATATATAAATATCAGCCTGCCTGCAGACAGTCTCAGCAATTTCTGGATGAAGTCCTCTTTTAGGATGTTGAATACCATCACCAGCTACTACACAATTTCTAATATTCAACACTAGAGAAATCTATTTAGCAGCAGTTTTAAAAAAAACTTGACTTGGAGATCAGATGTGGTTTTGGTTAAAATATTATTTTCCAAATAGCTCTCATGATCAAATGATTATGATTTCAATTACTAGTTTCTTCATACCCTTTCCAAGAACTGGTATGACTAATTTTGGCTGGCATACAAAGTAAGCTGAGCAGACAATTTATTAACCAAAAGAAAAGTACAATCACTATTACATCATCAATGAATAAACTTGTTTTTGAGAATACAACCTTCGCACACACGCACATGATGTGTACAGAGGGGAAAAAAAAAAAAAAAAGAAGAAAGAAAAAAAAAGAAACCCTACTGTAACAAGGGTGAAGCAATGCCAGAGCACTCACTGGCTCTGCCCAGGCTGCCATGGAGGGGAACCGGAGAGGCAGCTTTCGGGGGGCAGGGGAGAGCACACCCCAGCCATATGCTTTCTGTGGCAGCACCACGGCCATGGCCACGAAAACATGTGGTGTTTAGCATCTCCGCACTGATGTGAGGGGCCAGGAAAAGACCCTGCAAAAAGACCACTGTGTGCTCGCCTCAGCCCTTCACAAAACGGCACTGGGTCTCTAAATACAGCCACCATGGCGCAAAGGGGCGCCCAGAATGGCACCGCAGAGCAGCTGAGCACACAAATAGAGCACATGAATATAAAACAAATTCAGGCTGTCACTGTGCTGTGACAGAGGTTGTGGGATGAACCCCCTCCCTGCAGGCAGTGCTAGGCGACGGCCCCGTGTCACCCTGCAGCATCTGTGTCCCCAAGGGCACCTGGTCCCTGTCACCCCTGCGGCAGCCACATCCCTAGGGCCACCAGGCTGGCCCCCAAATTGGCTGGGATGCCCCGAGGAGGGTGGCTGACCACACAAAGTCTCATGCTCATGGCCGCTAAGCTGGACCTTGTGCCACCGCCGAGCAGCGGCAGCACCCACCTTACGGCTGTCAGGCCAAGAGGGCCCATCTCGCACCTGCTGTAACTGCAGCTCCGCTGCCGTCAACCCCTCCAAAAGCCAGAGCCGTGGCCAACATTAAAGACACCGCTGTGGGGTTTCGGGGTTGCCCCAAAGGAAGCGGGGCCGAGGCCAGGCCTGGCCTGCAGAGGCGGCGGCTGCAGGACGAGCCCCTCGTGAGGGAGGTCAGGCCGTGCCGCCTCTCCAGCGCCCAGGAGCACCCAGCCATCCTCCACACCAGCAGCGGCCTTGTGCCCTCCCCTTGTACCGCTAGCGATCACCACGGCTGCACCAGGGAAACACGGCCAAGTTCACTTTTAGCCAGAAAACAGAAAAATTACCCTACGTATTCCAGCGCCTGACTTGGGTCACCCTGCCCTACTCACAGTGGGACTGGGTAGACCTGCTCTCCCTCTCTCCACCTGTTTTTTGAGCTCTTGCTCATTTTCGGCCCAATTCAGAGACAACCGGCCACGTCCTCCTCAACTCCCCACACACCACAGCAGTCACAGGTTGGACCGCGGTCCTCCTCCAAGCGCCGCTGCCAACGTCGATCTCGCCAGCGAGAGACTGCATCTCCGGAGATGTCTTCACCCCAGCACCTCATCATTCAAACACTGCCTGTCACCCAGCAAAACATGGCAGGTAGCTTCAGCCCCTTCTTCCTGAGGAGCCCGAGCCACAGGCAGCTTCCAGAGAGGCTGTCTTCCCCCCATCTCGGCAGTTTGCTAACACAAGAGGTCATCTGCCCCAATGCCACCCAAACAGAGGTCACCCAACTATTTCATCAGCTCTGGGATTTTGATGTGCCTTGCCAAGCTTTCGCACATCCTTAAGCAACCTTTCCAAGTGCTCAGACCCAAACCATGAGTCGGGGGCGGGGTGGGGGGGTGTATTATTTTTTTGGAGCAGCAGGTGACCCTCTCCTTTTTTGTTAAGCAAAAATGTCTCACAGCCCCATGTTACGACAAAAATTGCTTCAGGATCTGCAGGGCTCTGCCAGCCAGAGGAGCCCCCATAGCCATTCGGTATCAACTGCTGCGCACCTACTGTCACAGCCCTTCTAGAGAAACCCTTTCAATGAGATGACAAAGGAATACAGATGTTAAATAAATAAAAAACAGGTACACCGTGACACATGACTAACAAACCTTTAGAAGATTAAAGAAATCTGCTGTATAACCTTCATGTCATTCATAATTATATCTCTGTGTAAACATGAAAAACCACCCACGTCGCATACAGTGCATATATATATATCTATACAAAAATCAACTCATTGCGTATTAGCTATGCTCTGAAGTGATATGTTTATGAGGTCTCCATTGGGTGGTTAAGTCTTTAATTGTAGTTTTTTCCTGCTACAGCAAGATGAGGTTTGCAAGACAAAACAGCCAGCACCGATTTCAGCTCTGCTCAGCAATGAGATTTATCTTGGATGGGCCTTTTTGGACGCTGACCAACCAATGGCAACGCTTTTCCCAGCCACAAAGTTGTCTAAATCTTGAAATAAGCACTGACTATAAAAAAAGGCACTTTTTCTTCTGTTTCTATAAAAGCGAGTATCTAGTCAGCCTATAATTTTAGCACATCTTACAAGACTCCTGAGCAAAGTACAATACTTTCACCTACCAAGTGGGAAATGGGGAGATGGTTAAGAAAGATGGTGATACAAACCCTTCTCATCCCTCTCTCGTTTTTTTAAGAGCATATCAGATTTGCATTTCAGAGAAGTTGTCCAGGGATAAGGGGACAGCATCTTCTCAAGAGCCATTATGCTTAAATATTATGTCACTGTTGTCTAAGCAACCATCACAGCCTCCCGAAAGCACAGAATGCTATATTGCCTGACTCAGCAGATGGTTGAAATACATTCAGGGAAAGAGGTCAGGTAGTTGTAATAGTTTAAAGTAGATAATTATTTTTTAGAAGAAATATTAACTCTTACAAGGCAGGGAGTCACAGGGCAGCACAGGGAGGTCGTACATCTTGATTGCACACCCGCATATGGTACGTCACAACTCCTCACTCATTGCTAATAACTAGGAAAGATTTATATTTTAGAGACGCCGAGGCAGCCTTAAAAGAATTACGGCAACTGAGATACCTCAAAATTTTGACATGCTGAGACTGTTTTCACTCCAGTGCTTCCAGAGGTCATTTAAGGAATTCTGGAGGGCACGAGTGAGTCGAACACCTGCTTGGCTGTCTCCTAACATCAAATACGTGGCCTAGAGAGAAACAGGAGACATACTGTAAAAACTCTTGCCGATAATTACAGGAGACA